AATAAAGCATTTAGAGATAAGACCATTTAACGTCACTTTTATTGTAAATTAAATTTCACAACTTACTTTTTACCTGATTTCCCATTTGCAAGTCTTAATTCGTCGATCTTGTGTCAGACACAAGCTTTGTGATTTAAATAAATAATGAATCATTTCGCTGTTAGTACACAACCATTAACAAAACGCATGGTTGGCACCTAAGAGGTGCCTCAAGTTAAACAGTTAAAAATCTGCATAGACCCACTTATTATTATCGTCGTACATGTTATAAATAAATTCAACATTTTATTGTTATTATTATCATTTCGAAAAAATCATGTTTTCTCATTCGTTATTTGAGTCAATGACTAATAGGAGTATATGATTCAGCCACTGATCTGTTCCTAAAGCTGGGTTCACACTATGTAGCAAATGTTATATAACATTTTAGTTCGGAACTTTCTACTCCCGCTATAAGTTACAGGTAGCAAATGATATATATTACATATAGGAAATGTTATGTAAAATTTTAGATTAGTGACTGATATTATCTGAATTCTACATGCTACATGCAGCAATACTCATGCACTTTCAATATTGGAAAATGTCGCAGAGAGATGTAGCTTTCGAGGATGCGATAAGTGTGATATTGGCCTAGCGAATAATATGAACAAAACCTTGCTACACATAGCAAAAGCTATTTGTAGTACGGATTTCTTTGATTTTTAAAACAAAACAAAACTATTGATATTTAGGGATGTAAAAGGAGGGTTAGGACTAATATAAAAAAAGAGAGATGAACTAGAAAAAGTCGTTGATTTTCGATATTTAGGGAGTCGGATGAGTCAGGATGGAAAAGGCGTTAGAGATATAAAACAAAGAATGGTGCAGGGTCGGGTGGTTTTTAGTAAAAATAAATCACTTTCATGCTCGAGATCGGTTATTTTGGAAAATTCGGAAACGATTATTAAGGTGTATGTCTATGGTGCGACTTTGTATGGGTTTGTAGATAAGATTAGAAGCGAGGAGGTGTTAGAAATAGTAGGAGAAGAGAGGGTGTTATAGAAATCAGTAAGAAAATGAACGAGATAGATTGATAGGATAAAGACAGGAGTTAAGAGGGGTAGATGAGGTAAATCTAGACTGGATTAGCGTTCGCATACATTTAAAGATGTATGTAGGTTCGAACTTTCGTCAAAGATTAAGCACTCTTTAAATTATGACGCATTTTTATTTTTCATTTGATTTTTAATATTTCGCGGTAATTTGTCATTGTTAATGTCTAACAGTAGCAGTAAATTAAATTTTACAGATGAATCTTGTAAAATTGTTTAATTATCGACTATTTTTTTGTGCAACACTACTTTTTTTAACAGTGAAGCTCCCGACCTTCTGAGCGTAAATTGCCAATAATGATGTTTTTTTCGCATTTTTTAACATCGTATAGACATCTTGACGTACGCTTTTACAACCAGAAAATTTTGGCTACTTAATACAAATTAAGGAACGACCTGACTAATATTTAGCAAATAGAGCAGCAACTTGTTCGGCGGCAGGCGTTTCGCCGCTGTTGCGGACGCGGGGTCTCCCTCTCTTCTTTCAAGTTGCGATGCCGTTGGGCTGAAGTTGCGAATAATTATGCTGATTCGCGAATGGTTAAAAAACGAACTCGCCATTTTGTCGGCCGCATTTGATACTGCCAGGGACGTTGCCTGGCTTTTTTCGCACGGGCCAAGGGTGACTCAAACCTTTGTAGTTTTTAATCTCCCTATACCTGACGCAAGAAGTTATGAGTTCCGTTATAATATTATCTAATCTTACTGTAGTAGGAAAAGTAAAGATTATCTCACACTTTTTAGGATCCGGGCGGGTACCGGATAATGACACAGGTGGAGAAAAAAGAGCAGTAGGTAATAACTTAAAAAGCATAAGTAACAAAAAATTTACCTAATAAAAATTGGTAATTAAGATTGTATTGGAATATGTCGTTTGTTGTAATTTGTATTATTTATTGATTACTATTAGGATCCGTCAAATTGGCATACACCTTCTGGTGGCAAAATTTATAACTCGAATGAGGGAAAAATTTACATAGGAACTGTGCACGCAAATTGTAAAATTGTTTATTAAAATAATAAAACACGTTAAAAAAGTAAAAATTTTTTTGATGATGGAGTCGACGAAGTTTTCTTCTAAAGTTAAATCAAATAAAAAGTTAATATGTTCAGTGAAAAGCTGCAATAGCACTTCAGACATAGATCTTCACTCTTCACCTACATTAACTACTTTCCAATAAAAACTAACCGTTTTATATATGTAAAAAATATATTCGGAAAATTAGAGAAAAAAGTAAACTAATAGAAGCTTGGATGAAAGCAGTAGGTATCAAAGAAGTGAATTCCGGAATAAAAATTTGTTCACGTCATTTTAATGCACATGATTATATTTCAGCAAGTATTTACCATCAGCCATAACCTTAATATTTAAAACTAGAATCATACTAAAATTATAAAGTGAGAAATTATTTATTCCTGTGTAATTGATTTAACACAATTCTAATGATACGATATAAGTATTTTGAGGTTAAGAACCTACCTGCTGCAATACAACAAAGTTGCAATAATGTGTTTGCAACGTTCTCTTAAATCGGCTTTGCACGTGCAAGTCATTGATATGATATTGCTTAAATCACCCAGAATCACCTCACCAATTATATAACGTGAATCACTTTTTAAATCCGAAGTTTGTAAAAAGTAGGCAGTAAACTTGACGGAATTTGAAGGCTAGCTTCCGGATTTGTTATTTCCGAATTTTATAATGTGATTGGCATTAAAAACACGCTCACCTTCAACGAAATTTCCTTTCCGAGGCTTTGTGTCAGCCCAATCACATATTTTGCCAATACTTATCATTTTATGGTAATTTAAAAACTTGGAAATTGCACGGTACACTATAGGAACTACGATAAATTTTCCCTAATCGGCGCCATGTTTTTAGGCTCCTCCCATTTGACGGATCCCAATACTAAATTATTTGTTGCACTTTTTCTCGTAAACACGAATACATCAGTATGACCGAACTACATATTACAATTTCTGTCGTTTATTGGTACAGATTGGTACAGATTTCGATTTTGTTTCTTTGCAGACTTTTAGCGTTTATAAACATTATAGGCTTATTTGAACGGTTTTAACTCAATTTTCGGGGATTCCTATATACGATGTGATTCCTAAGCACAGCTCAAAAAATTAGTATGTCTAATGCGTCTAACTGCATCAAGGGACAATTTTCGGGACACAATTCGTAAACATGAAGAAATGTTTGTGGTAGGGACATCCAGCAGTCAATAGCCAAGGAACTACTAATAGAAAAGACAGTAGGTAGACATTCGCATATTTGAGATTCTACTTGCATTTTTATGAATTTCAAATGAAGTGGCAGAGAGTTATGCTAAGCACTCAGTTTTACGTATACAAGTTGGTACCCAATACCTGTGTTTACTGACTTACAACTATATTAAAACAATTCATATTTGGATATAGGTACGCTTTGAAAATACGCATGCTAGTTATCTACCTATTACCTATATATATAACGGTAGTGACTTATTATGTACAGTCATATTCAAGTCATTCCATTCTTGTTCACCTTTTCCGGGACTCAAAAAAAGACCGATTTACTTTTGAATTAACCGACAGTTCGACTTCAATTAAAAGGACAAAAGATTAAATAAGGGCTATTAATGGGTGTATGCTATTAACCACGGTTCAATGTCCAATATGAATGAATTAAACTGCGTAGATGTGCCTACCTACCAATAAAAACTTAAAACAAAATTACAGGGTCCTTTAATCTTGAACAATGTCCCTACTTTTCAACTTTTAAATTAAACATATGGCGTTGGTTATAATTATACTAAACTAGCTTTTCCCAGCGGCTTCGCTCGCAGAAATTAGTGTTGTTTCTCCATAAAACGTTTTAACTCCCAATTCATTCTTACAACGTTTAAACTTTATGTAATGTCGCCATCTTAGATTTCAAATACAAACGTAGCAACAACATTTCATTTTTAAGAGTTGTTTTTGTTAAAAATTGCCAAAACACGTATTTGCTTAACTTCAACAATGAGCAACCTTCGAGTAAATCCGAGTACCAATAAAATATACCCCATGGAAACGTTGCAACCTCTTTTCATTTGATTAATAATATCAAACAGCAGATATACCAAGTTTTAAGTAAATTTAACCACAAATAAAGTATATGTCCCAAACAAAAATTGCAACACCTTTCCTTTTTTTAAAATGTCGAGATAGATCTTTCAGAAATTAAATGAGAGACCATTAAAACGAAGTTTCAAGTAAATCTGACCAAAAATAATATATGTTCTATTGAAACATTGCAACCCCTCTTCACCGCTCATCCCTCCCCTAACAAAGATTTTTAACCAGTTTCAAGTAAATCGAACCAAAACCAAACATGCAATCTTTGCAAACCCTTTTCAGCTTCCTAAAGAGGTAGAATTTTGTAAAATGTTGAAGTAGATATGTACGTCACTAATTTTATATGAAAAAGCATTAAAGCCAAGTTTTACAACATTACGTTTAGCTGTCAGTTGCGTTTTGTTATACCATTTTTAACAAATGAACGGCTAGACTGATGATTTGATTTATAAATTTTTCGTTTTGCTGTCATTTTCGTTTTGTCATTCCATGTCAGTTGCGTTTACATATACCACGTTTTTCTTGTGGAACATGATAAAAAGTATTCTATGTCCTTCTCCCGGTTGTGAGCTACCTCAGCACCAATTTTCAGCCAAATCGGTTCAGCCGTTCTTGAGTAATAAATGGTGCAACTAAGACGACTTTCTTTTATATATATAGATTTACATTGAAAATGAATAAATCTTATCGTAGGTAAGTAAAAATCAAAGAAAGAGGTTGTCGAAGATATTTACATCGCATACGGGCGTAATCGCAGAAATCAATACCATTTTTGCGCGTTAAGTGATTACCCATTACCGAATGACGGATTTCGTGCGAAACTGCAAACGCCTTTGTCAATGCGAAATATGGAAACTTTCAAAAGAGGGTAGAACTTACGGGGCTTTTCTGAATTACAAGGGGAAGCTTTGGAGGGTCGTGGTGGGGGTGGCAAGTAACCCTCGCCAGCGAAAACCCATCATCATTTTATGTACTTATTTACCAAAACTGAGCTCCTTCAAAAAGGCGTTTCGACAACTTGATTGTTTATATTCTACCTGAACCGACGACGCGACCGTTAAAAATATAATTAATATGCCCTTAATTAACACGTGCTAGAGTGTGTTAGTGGTGTTTGTGTACCTATACAGAGTGGCNAAAACTTTTTTCTAAGTTTTCTATTGGCCCCCAAAAGTGATCCTCATGTACAAAATTAATTTCCGTGAATCACAGAAATTCATATATATAGTAAATTTCAACTTAATCGGTTCAGTAAACCCGGAGTAAAATGGCGAAAACAGCAGAAATACTTGACCTATTCCAACGTAAATAATAGAGGGAAAACGTATAGGTATTTTTGCTAATAATACTACAATATTTATAAATAAATGAAACCGAATCTAGCCTTACTCAACCAAGATTAGTAGGTGTACTTTTACACACCGTAACCTAATGTATCGTTTATCTGAGGCTAGGTTACATAGGGTAGGTTAGGTTTTCCTTTGGGTGCTTGTCATATCTCTCTCATGTCATAGGTGAAGCTCTAAAAGTCGTATTTGTTGCTCTAGTTTTACGATCAGTTTCAATAAGTGACTAAATCTTGCAATAGTCACCTAAAAACTATTTATTTACAACAAAAAATTATTTAAAACACTTTCTTTTTTCATGTAAGTTTTTCGTAATGTGACTATTTTAAGCCAACTGTGTTTTGCTGTATTAGCTTTGTAATAAGTATAATAATTATTACTATCAAATCCTCCACAATCTTTCACGCAGCGACAAACAAGATCCTCCCTGGTCAACGTTTTTGAATTTTCGTTACTTTTTTCATAGTATGTAAACCATTACTTTTTATGCTAGCCAAATAATTTCAATTTTTTGGAGTATGGAAAGCTTCTAATAATACATTTTCTAGTTTGGTTATTTGATGACTTTGTGTTAGAAAATGGTATTGATATACTTTATTTATTAAACCTGTATTTCTAAGGTATATCCACAAACTTTCCATTTGAAACTTTGAATTTCTGGGAATTCTCAGTATGTACGAAATCGTGTAAGCCAAAGCTCGAACGATTATACGATTCTACCCCTTATATATGAGAGAAGCTTTTTCTTTTTGCCGATGTTGTGAAATGGTGAGCAAACCTAACAACGGGCGGCATAGTTACTAGTTTCAAGGAAGGTTGTAAATAGTCGTAGTGTTAAGTAATATAAAGTGGTAGGTAGGTAGTCGAACCATAGCATAGGGTGGATCGACTTTTAGGAATTTCTAAACCCAAAGTAACATTTTTGAAAGTCAACGTGCTGCAGAAATTATACCATTAGAGTTGACGAGAATTTCTAACTAAATTAATAGGAAATAGGAAACTATTTTTACTAAATAAAGTCTGATACCTACCCACATAACAATATGGATGTAGAAGTTTTATTAATCATAATAACATTATTATGAACTAATTCTACTGTAATTACTTATTTGGACGAAACAGGATGAATATGATCAGTGAAATGTGCTTCTTTACTCAGTGGCGGTGCATTGATTTTACATAAAATGAATATGACCTAATGTTTGTATATAGGTTTATAATGTTTCTTCTGTATGATGTTATAGAGAATATACAATTGTATTTTAATGTCTATCGTTGCAAGACATTTTGAAATCAGCACTTTAAGAACTGTGAAATATACTTATTTTATACAAAATCAAATGATCCATGACGTTATTATATTACAGGAAAAAAATAATGGCAATGTAGGAGTGAGACGAATTTATTTGTATTACAATTGAAACTTAGTGGTTAATTTTCAGACTAATCAGTTGGCAATTTTACTGATAAAGTTGTAGGGTTCCCGTTTTGCTTGCCATTTGATATTGCCGATTTTGTGTTTTTGATAATCTTTAAGCCTTTAACTTAAATAACAGCTAAAAAACTGTTTTAATTACAAATATCGTAATATAAATAATAACCGCAAGTTTAAAATCTTATGAAGCATTCTTAGGTTAAGGTTAGGTTAGGATCAAAGTGGCAACGAAATCGAACGTTGACATACTAAAATTCAATGAAATCGAACGTCGCCATACGAATCGAGACATTTACGTTTGTGATTAAAAATCGTATCGATGATTTGCTTCCCTAGTGCCTATTTTGTGTCATGAAATTGTACGGACCGTCACTGTTTTCATCTTCGTTGGAATAACTTGCCGGTCGGTCGGTACAGTTAAATGGGTTGGTATTAACATGGCCTGCTGCATTCTTTCAGGTATCACAAACGCAATGGAATTTTTAATGTAAGCAATCTCCGCGTATTACACTGTCGTTGATTCAAGGAGCTGCTTTTAAAGGACTGGTGCAAAGTTTTTCCATGTTCCTAATAGAAGTGTCACGTTTGTTACGCCATCGAGGTGTAAATATTCCGTTGAGAAAAACTGGAAATTATTTTTCCTCAAATGTATACCTACATGTTTTATTTACACGATTAAATTACATGAGTGTGTAGTTACAATATCAGATTTTACTTTTAGTCCCAATAAAAATGTTATTAAAAAAAATTGCACAAAAATGGTTACTTACTAGGGATTCTCGCGATCATTAAAGTGACATTTCGTCTTTTAAAAAATATGATCTATCAACATGAAATACGTACTGACAATTAAATGTACAATTTCTATGTTCAGAGAACTTTTTGCCTTACCTAGGTATATTTATAGTTTCTGGCATTAGTAATAATATTCCTTGTTAAATCTTTTGTACAAATGACATTCATTAAGAAGCATCATCGGGCCACCATGAATATCAAATACAATCAGCAGATTCATAGATATCGTTAATATAGAGGAAAGCGGAAGCTTAATCAAACAAAAAACTCATTAACACATTTCCTGTAGGGAAAGTTATGTAAATAAATAGCTACGGTGGAAATTGAACTGAAAATAAACAAAAACAGTGTTTTTCTCATTGTTACACTTTGCATATTAACAATTTTATTAAATAAAAACGCTGCATAATTTTGAATTATAAGTAAAGCATCTTAGGATAGGTGCAGTTGTACGCTGGCAGTTTTAAATTTGCCGCTTTAAATGCTATAATGACTTTTCTAAATTAAAATTCAGAATGGATCAGCACATGGGTCTTAACCCACCCAGAACGGTTTTGTAGATGTTCACTGCAGTCCTACAATTTTTATTTTTAAAAAAAATTAATAATTTCCTATTCGGGGAAACTCGGTAGCAAGATACTATTTATCAGTTCGGTTTTCCTTAAAACGCAAAATCTCGGCGAAATTCGTTATCAATTCAGACGCCATTACATGCGGGGGCGTCCCTACCGTGCTGCCAATCATAGTAGGCGTCGCCGCTGACGTCCCCTTCAACATTGCGCCGAACCTAATAAATCGATAATTTGAAAATGTTTTATAGATAAATAAAAAATTACTTTATGTAAACGTTTTATTTAATTAGATAATTTTAGAATAACAAAATGAAATGTTCGTTTTAAAAATGAGTTACAACAATTAATTTTTTTCTATTCTGCATCAGGTAGAACAATTTGAAACTAAAAAGGTTAATGACAATTAGTTAATTTAATTAATTAATCCATTAAAAAAAACTTTTAAACGTTTGTTTCGTAATACGTGATTGTTGATTTTAAAATCCAATTTTTATTAACCCACTTTATTTATACTTATGTACCTGCAGTATTTTTATAGATATAATTTCAATATTTATCATCATCTCCATCATACTTGCATATATCATAACGCAGGGTTGTTTATCAATCTCTCACTTACTCTCGGAAAAACGGTTGAAAATTGTACATTTCGGTTAAAAACAGTATGAAGATGAGCGAAATATCGCTCGAAAAGGAAAATCATAAAAGGATAAAACTAGCTAAATGGGCTTTATTCGTTAATCAGGATGCTATCACTTAATCGGAAATTTCATTAAAAATCGCCAGCATCGTCAAAAATTCCAGCTAGAAGTAAACAATTGCAAAAAAGTGCACGGTTTTAAAAATCTATGCTCACATTTGAGCAAATGTTGTGCATCTCTGAAGAGCTTTACAAATATATTTTATATACCACAAATACCTACTATTTTGAAAAAAGCATTTTGTATTTTATTTAAAATTCTTTTCTATGCGTATTTTCTATTTGCAAAATACAGAATAGTTTGTTTTCCTATTATCACCGATCAAAGCTTAAAAAGGAGACAAAAGGGCCATTCTATGGATGCCTTTCAAAATTTTGACTTAATAGACAGCAAAAAATTCTGAACTACTTGGAAATGCATAGATAATTCAAAATATTTTGGATTTCGCAATTCTAAACATCGTGATTGATAGTAGTCACTACTCAGGACTTACCACTGAAGGTGCCTTCAGCAAGGAACTGCGAAATTTCATCATGGACCACGACAAAACAGCATGGAAAACAATATCGAATCTACAATATTTTGGATTATCCATTTTCAACAAATTCAGATTTTTTTACGCTTCTATCACTTCAAACATTGCAAGACGTCCTTCGAATCAATGTACGCAGGACTGCCAATATAGTAAAAAAATTTATTTCTTCCCTTTATTTTAATTACCTAGTAAAAGATCAAAATCAAAACGGGGCTGTAAATTATTTTCTAATATAAAATGATCGATGTTGGTTTTACCTCGAGAAAATTATTTACAACAAAACGGATGTCAAAGAAAGCTACACTATTCTATTAAAACTCTTATATTAGGTCCTTACCTGAGAAATGCTTTGTTGTTTTCAGTAGCAGTACAGTAGACTTGCAACTGTAATTAAGTTTTGTTTGTTTTAACTTTTACATAAATAGAGTTAACAAATGTTAATCACTTAACCGAGTTTAAAATAGCACTTCAGTCTGGTAATAACAAGAACACATATTATAACATAAATACATACAATTATAAAAAGTAGTGTTCGTTTGTGTTGAAAATA